GAGGTTCTTCCAGTCTGTGAGGAGACACAAACATGTATAAATGTAATTATATTACAATATTGCAGGTGTAAAATAAAAGTATGATAAGAGCAAAGAGTTGGCATATGATTAATAACTATGATATCTGGCCAAGACTTCGAGATGAGTTGCTGATGAAACCTGTGTGAGGCACAAAAAAGATGGATAAGAGTTTTATAGGATTATAAAATAGCAATGTGCGTTATGTGTTCGAACGTTAAGGGGTATCGAGATGTGAAACACATAGTCTGTGATTATTTCTGAATCTTGGACTCCGTAAAATCCACATTGTCAACTTGTAAGTCAACTTGAAGCTCAGAGGCTGCCTGTGTTGGCAAACAGGGTGTGAATCTCCAGGGCAAGAGAAAGATTAAGTAATGGATGCTTTGATGTTGTTTCCTTGAATGCATCTATCTCATGTGTGTTTCTCCCCAAATATTTGGTGATCATGTGGTTTGGCTGAAGGAGAGAACATTTGTTGAACATTGTGTCAGCATAATATCAGCTTTAGAATTTCACAGATATCTAGGTGCCCTAAGAGACCAACTGGACTGGACATCAGACCAAGATTCTGATAAAAGGGGATAAGAGAGATTAACCAGAGTAGGAAAAGTGCTTTTCTGAGCCAGAGATAACAAGAGAAACTTAAAGAAAGGGCTGAAGCAAGAAAGTTTAAGCCTGTGAGTAGGTAAGTAAAAAACTTAAAGTTTTTGGTATAATACCAAACAAGATTTCCTTTTCTATCTATTGTATTAAATTAATGCTATCAGCTTTGGTCTAGATGCTTCTGTCTGAAGTATAGTGCCTGTATTATTGTCTTTGGAATAAATAATACGGTTTGTTCCTGAGTATTCATTTTTGTAATTAATTGCTTCAGGTTGAGCTATATCACAATTAAAGATCATTTTGAACCAAGTTCTACATTTAAAACATGAGGAAACTGAGGCCCATAGAGAAGAAATGACACTTGAAAGTCTCTCTGACAACCTATGCATTTAACATTCATATGTAACACTAACATTTTGCATTTTTGCTGTTTTCCTTTGAGTGAAGAAGCTATCATGAGTGATTGGTTTTTGTTTTTGTTTTTGTTTTAGTAGTCTTTAGTTTTTAGAACCATTTTAGGTTTGTAGCAAAATTAAGTGCGAGGTACACAGATTTCCTGCATGTCTCCTGCCCTCAAACATTCATAGCATCTCGTGTTATCAAACATCCCCACCAAAGGGGTACCTTTGCTGTAACTGATGAATCTACACTGACATATCACTATCAAAGTCCACAGTTTTACATTAGCATTCACACTTAGTGTTATACATTCTATGGGTTTGGACAAATTTATAATGGAATCTATCCATCATAATAGTATCATATAGAGTTGTTTCACTGCCTTAAAAATACCCCGTGCTTTGCCTGTTCATACTTCCCTTCCCCTAACTCCTGGAAAACACTGATCTTTTTTCTGTTTTCCAAAATCTCATATAGTTGGAGTCATGCAGTACATAGAATTTTCAGATGGGTTTCTTTTACTTAGTAATATGCATTTAAGTTTCCTCTACCTCTTAGTATGATTTGAAAGCCCATTTCTTTCTAGTGCTTAATAATATTTTATTGTCTACATGTACCACAGTTTCTTTATCCATTCACCTACTAAAGGACATCTTGGTTGCTTTGAATTTTTAGAAATTATCAATAAAGCTACTATAAACATTTGAGTACAGATTTTTGTGTGACATAAGTTTTCATCCCCTTTGGGTAAATACTGAGGGACTCAATTGCAGGATTATGTGGTAAGAGTATGTTTAGTTTTACAAGAGACCACCAATCTGTCTTCCAAAGTGGCTGTACCATTTTGTGTTGGCACCAGCAATAAATCAGAGTTCCTGTTGCTCCACATTTTCCCCAGCATTTAATGTCAGTATTCTGGATTTTGATCATTCTAATAAGTATAGAGTGGCATCAAGTTTTTTTAATTTGCATTTCTCTAATGACATACGATATGGAGTGTTTTTTCATATGCTTATGAAAAAGCATATGATAGGTGGCTGTTTGATAAGGTGGCTGTTAAGTCTTTGGCTTATTTTTTCAATCAGATTGTTTGTTTTCTTATTGTTGAGATTTAAGAGTTCTTTGTATATATTGAATAATAGTCCCTTATCAGATATGTCTTTGGCAAAAATTTTCTGCCGGTATAGGAGTTAACTAGTTAACTAGTTTCTCCTGATGAGAGATCTTATTAAGAAGACAAGAATGCTCTCCAGTGATGTCAAAATGCCTCCTTTCCCCTTCCCATGCCAGAAGCATGAGGGGATTTTTAATTTTTAAAATTTTTTTGCCAATATTTACCGTGAGAACTTGGTGTAACTCCTGGAGGCAAAACTCAAAAGTGTGTCTCTCCTCCCCTCAACCACCCACTCCAGGACTGGATCTCCCTGGAGTTTTATCTGTCGGATTTGTTTACACTGACCTCCAGAAATTCATCAATTGCAGTTCAGGTTTTCCTACTCAAAACTGATTGCCTTGGAGGTTTCTGTTCTACTAAGCTGTGATTTTTTTTTTTTTTTTTTTTAATTCACCTCTTGACTTATCCAATTTTGAAGGCAGCGGTTTGCCCTGTGCCCTCGCTTCTCTGATCGATCTAAGAGTTGTTGATTCTTCAGTTTCTTCATCCTTTTGTAATCAAGGGTTCACCTTGCCTACTGCCTGGACAGGGCCGGCTTATCAGGACAGTGGAACTGCAATGGAGGAAGAGTAATTCAAGCAGAGTCGGCTATGCAGGAGATGGGAGTTTTATTATTACTCAAATCAGTCTCCCCGATCAGAGTTTTTAAGGATAGTTTGTTGGAAGTACTGGTTGGTTGCATTGAAGGTAAACTCATAGGAGGTCGAAGTGAGTTCTTGCTGGCTTACATTCCTGGGTGGGATTGCAGAACTGGCTGAGCTATATTATCAGTCCGGGTGGTGTCATCTGGGTGGTGTCATATGCTACATCAGAATGCAGGGTCTGTAAATAGCTCAAACACTGATCTTAGACTTTACTACAGTGATGTTATTCCCAGGAGCGATTTTGGGGAGGTTCAGACTCTTGCAGTCAGAGGCTGCATGGCCCCTAAACCGTCATTTCTAATCTTGTAGCTAATTTGTTGGTCCTACAAAGGCAGACTGGTCCCTAGGCAAGAAGGGGCTTTTCAGGAAAGGACTGTTATCCATTTTATTTCAGAGTTTAAACTACAAATTCCTTCCCAAGGCTAGTTTGGCCTACACCCCAGAATGAACAAAGACAGTTTCAAGGTTAGAAGGAAGATGGGGTCAGTTAGGTCTGATCTGTTTCACTGATATAATTTCCTCACTTAAGATTTTTTGCAAAGGCAGTTTCACTTTGACTTGTGGCAGCAACTTCCAAGCTTCTAACATGTTTTATAGGGCTGATTTTAGGTTTTTAAACTACAAGTTTTATTATATTTTAAAATGAGAGGTACATCTAATGACAGGATTATTTTATATAGTATATATCTGATTATATCTTTAAATTATTAGACTTTGGGGTTTATTCCCTGAATCTAATATTTTTCATGTTATTATTTGATAGAGAAATGAATTAATCATATTATTAGAGCGAAGTCTCTGTCTGCAAGTAGGAAGATTAGATCATTTTAAACAGTTAATCCTTAAAGAGCTAGAGACCCAGGAGGGAAAATGTATTTGAAAAATAAGAGCTTCTATGTCATTTGTTAAATCAACAGAAACATGACCTGAAGTTCCACCTAAAAACCTTAAAGCAAGTCCCAATTATTCTTAATTTACAAGCTAAATTTAATTGAATTAAAAGCTCAAATTTTATTTCATCAAGAGACTCTTCCCATAATTTTTGGTAAGTTTCTAATCAGTATCAACCCTTAGCGTTTACCATGAATGCTGAAGGCTCACCGTGTTACATTTATCTCTTCTATTACAGATGAACTTTACAGGAGAGATTTTAAAACATGAATGTATTAGCATTTAAGTAGTCAGAGAATAATACACCAACCCAAGTAAGAGAGGTCTATGAAACTGTTTTGTTTGTTTCTGTTGGTGGTGGTGGTGGTAAATTTAACATTACTAGCCACCAATTGATGGAGCCTGTGATTCTTCCAATGCCTCTCAGATAATAATATCTTTTGTCTTAATATATTTTCATCTTAATATTGCAGAAGATCTGGTGATGTTGTTGTGCTGGTAAGAAACAGAGCTCAGGTAGCCCACCTCTCTTAAACCTCTAAAAGTGTTTCTTACTTTTAAAAGTATTTCTGGAGTTAAAAGTCCTGAGATGTATGGCTCTCTCTCAGTCTGAGAGACTCACTTACCTGAGCAAATACTTGAAATTTTTTCTTAAATGCAGAGCCTCAGTAGGAAGATAATGCATCAGTCAGGTGTTGCCTTTACTCTGACAGAGACTTCAGCTGTTAGGACATTTACCATTCTAACTTCTCACTATTGGAATTGCTGGGTCATGCACAGAAGCAAAACCCTTTAGATTGCTTTCATACTCTGTTGGCAGTACTGTAGCCCTGACTTATGATTCAGCTGTTACATTTTCTTTTGCAACTGGAGAAAATTGAAAAATGCAACTTCATAATATCCCTCCACTCAATGTTGTCAATGACACTTACAAACTCTCAGTTACTACTTAAGACTTAAAGGTGCAAAGGCAATTTCATTTTGGGGCTTTGCTACTCTTTTTCAGCTGACTCTCTAAAAGCCTCTTTCTTCTCCAGATGCAGGTGTCTTGTTGCTGAATATCACACTTATAGTGGGGGTGGATCTTTGAAACTGGGTCTGTGGACTTTTCTCTCTTACCATGAGCCCTCTGACCTCTGCAGCATTTTTCCTTCCTTGGAATTCTTGCACAAACAGGAGTGATTGATTTCTGAAATTCAGACTATCCAGTTTGATCGTTTTAATCCTACCACAAAATCATGGCTGCAATAGGAAACTTTATTTAAGATATATCAGCCAGAATTCTAAAGAAAAGTTGGTCTTCATTTAATTCTTTTAAAGTCTTGGAAGGTATCTATTTGCAACAACCAGCCATTGAGATCTCATTTTATTTTTCTGAGTCCTGAGAGCAACATAGCAGGCCTTCAAAACATATTAATCTTGAATAGAATCAAATAATAAATGTCATTTTTAATAGACTGGAAAAATGTGGATTCTCTTGCAGTGATGTAACCATACCGAAGTATGACGTTGTGTTTTTGTGTGATGAGAGTAATTGAAGAGCAGAGGGCAGGCTGCAAAATGCAATCAAAAAGCAGGCTTGCCTTCAGCAAATGAGAAGCTTATAGCTTTGCCTTCATGGCATAGTAAAAAGATTAGACAAAATCAGACTGAGGAAGAAATTTCTATCTCACAGTGCCTGCCCACTTTCTGAGAAAGGATATAGGATATAGTAATCTCTTGGTATCTATGGAAGATTGGTTCTGGGGCCCTTGGTGACTTTAAAATTTCAGGATCCAAGTCACTCATAAAATGGCATATTACTTCTATATAGCCTACACACATCCTCCCACGTTTTTTTTTTTTTTTTAAATCATCTCTGGATTACTTACAATGGAAATGCTATATAAATAGATGTTATACTGTGTTGTTTTTTATTTGTATTATTTTGTTGTATTTTTGTTTTTATTTTATTTTGTTTTAATATTTTTGCTC